AGTGTGCATCGACACAGCAGAACCTGCAGCCTGACATATTATTCACGTCTACCCGCTGGCATGCCGCTATCCCCCCCCCCCCCAATCTATACTCTCTTGTATCATCATCCTTCAATGCGACGGACACCCGATAGACGGTCAGCCTTTGGGTCATCCTAATAAAGTTATTATTTAATTTTAATTATGTTGGATGGCACATGGTCGTCAATCTCCTGTACAGCACTATACTAGCGATGACTCATGGTGATTAATCTCCTGTACAGTACTATACTAGCGATGACTCATGGTGATTAATCTCCTGTACAGTACTATACTAGCGATGACTCATGGTGAATAATCTCCTGTGCAGTACTATACTAGCGATGACTCATGGTGAATAATCTCCTGTGCAGTACTATACTAGCGATGACTCATGGTGAATAATCTCCTGTACAGTACTATACCAGCGATGCCTCATGGTGATTAATTTCCTGTACAGTACTATACTAGCGATGACTCATGGTGATTAATCTCCTGTACAGTACTAAACTAGCGATGACTCATGGTGATTAATCTCCTGTACAGTACTATACTAGCGATGACTCATGGTGATTAATCTCCTGTACAGTACTAAACTAGCGATGACTCATGGTGAATAATCTCCTGTACAGTACTATACTAGCACTTACCAGCTTGTATCCATATGACTGCCGAGGTTGTTCCCTTAGGAATGACCACCTCCCGCTTGATATGCCGTGAGGAGTGGATCATCATGCCTGCAGAGGACAATGTGTGTGTGTGTGTGCGTGCATGCGTGCGTGTGTGTGCGTGTGTGTGTACGTGCATGTGTGAGCATGTATATGCATGGTTGCAAAACACACGTATCTCTGCATTAGATTGAATGATGTCATAAACTTTCTTCGCTCGGAGCCATTGCATAATTAGGCCTGGGAGGTGGCTTGCTGGTGGAGCCTACTTGAACGTCATGTGTGGCTTTCACGTAAACTACCAACAACACTGCCACGATATGCCCGGTGCAGCCCTAGACCGGTGAACACTGGGCTGCGAAATGGTGCAAGGCGCAAACTTAAGTGATGCAACTAGATTTCCTTGAGCAGGACTGTAGATGAAGCATGCCCCCCCCCCCCCCAACACACACACACACACACACACACATGCGCAGTCCTGCTCAATGAAGTTCGGTCGCGTCAGTCAAGTCTGCGCCTTGCATCTCTTCGCAGCCCAGTGTTTGCAGGTGTGGAGCTGCGCAACGCCCGGCGCGTACTTGACTGACGGATCTCCCTATGCTGGATTTCATTGAGCCGCACTGAAGGCTAGGTTCATAACTTTATTCCTGTAACGTTCACTCACAGCAAATACTATTCAATTACTTACCCATGCTTGCCTGCTTGCTCAGCTCATAGCAATCTGTTCTACGAATATACCGGTTTTGGAGGAATGCGACTTTCGCAAACACATTGATGTTTGCTCGCACTGCAGGCGGCGAGTCGTCTGAAAGAGAGAATTCAAAAAGCATATTGAAATTGCATTCGGTCGTGCAATCTGCATCGCGCGCGTACATGCTCCAATGCGCACACACGCGCGCGCGCACACACACACACACACAGATGCCACACACGCAATCGTGCCAAAAGACCTGGTGGATGCTGAGTGCTCCACAAGATTGTGCATGACATGATCATTACCTTTGAGGCGGGGGGGGGGGGATCAACCCCCGCCCCGGGGGAGGGGTGACCAAGAAGAGAACCGTTGTGGGGGTTGTGTGTGTGGGGGGGTTGTGTGGGTGGGGGTGGGGGGGGGGGAGGCTTGACAAAATAAGAGAATCGTTGTGGCACAAAGAACTGTCTCCGTATCTTTGTAAACTGATTTGGGGAAGAGGGAAGTGGAACAACTCCACTCACTCGCACAACACTTTCAGACATACTCTCACCTGTCAAGATAATGGAGGCGGCAATTGTCAATCGATTGCTCCCGGTTATGCCCAGCTTAGGGGTTATCGTCAAGTGGCGCGTGTCATTTGCCACTAGTGGTCCCCATGTGCTGGGGCGTTCACACAGCCCAACAGCTTTCAGTCTGCCGTCTGGCCAGGACTTGATCGGGTCATCGCCAGCCACTTCCGTAGGACAACCTTCTGAATTAATAACATCATCCAGCGTGTGTGTTCAGTCACCCACATGAACACACAAATGTGACACACACGCACACACACACATACGCACGCACACACACACACACCACATACATGCACACACATACAAGAAACGTGACAAAGAGATTCCAGGGTGTCCAATAGAGTGAGCAGCAGAGCTAACGTTAGTTGCAACAACACTAAGAGGGTTTAAACACGTGTTTTTACTCTTGAGTTTCACGCACGAAGTGATCACCAAAAAGTATACAATATTTGAATTGCATGTGCGCACAAGCTTGCTCTTCAGCACTTCACTCGCATCCCTGCTCCGTCGCGTGATGGGTTCTTTCTTACAATCATAGAGAGCCAGTAATTCTTCAAGAATAATGTTTTGGTTCAGTGCCAATTTCCGGTAGTTTTTCGATCAATAATCCCTGCTATGTCGGTAGTGACCCTAGTTTTCTGGTAAAATACCGGAAAAACCGGTTGGTTGGCAAGTATGTACAATGTAGATCTGGCACCATGCGGAAATGTGGTCAACTTGATGGAGCCCACTGAATCGAAGTGACGGTTCTTCTTGGATCAGACGAGACCATTCCACGCGTGTAGACAGCAGCACCGGAACAAATCACCAGCAACACTCCACGGCCGAAAGCAGTTACTCCTGACACGCTTAATTGTTTGTTACATGAAAGATCGCGGGAACTCATCAGGTGAGAACCAGTTGTTGCATGGATAATGAAGGTTGAGCATAGTAATACGTTCTATATTGCACGTCAGATATTTGGAGTAGTGTGCGTACACTAACGCATAATGATGGCGGCAAACTAACAGACGCGGAGTGGTCTTGACCGGAAGTAGCCCTATTACACCCTACTAGAGACAACTGCTAGTTCTAGCATCACAAGTGCCAAGCCAATCACGAGGAAAAAAAGAGGCACCCAATAGGGTAAAAATCCGTAAAAAAGAAAGAAAGAGGAAAAACACAGTGAAACGAGTTCTGAAGCAACTATCCGCGACTGTAACAATGTGATAAGCAGTCAGGAATTGCGTTAACAGGGCACAACACTAACAGGCTACTGAGACCTGTACATTTTGCCAAATTATTAGAGACCCACAACCCCCTCCCCTGGAATCCGCGCCCATGCACCGTGTGGAACGGAACGAAACAAGCTTGCCAGGAGTACAAGTATTTGGTAAGTTCTTGCTGTCGTGGTGTGTTGCTGGTGAATTGTTCGAAAAGAAGAACCATTACTATGGATGGACGAACGCTAGTAGTACGCTCTTCAACGTTTCTCTTCTGGAGCATGATACATTATCCAGCGTCAGCAGAACGCACAGCAACCCATGGCGTATAATGCCGGCAGAAAACCTGGCAGAATTTAGTGCTTTTCGGGTATGTTTCATGCATGTTTGGTTTGTGGATAAAGAAATGGAGCAGGATTCAAGTGGTGGTGGTGGTGATGGTGGTGGTGGTGGTGGTGGTGGGGTAGTGGTGGTGGTGGTGGTGGTGGTGGTGGTGGTGATGATGATAGTGCTGGTGGTGATAGTGCTGGTGGTGCGGGAATCATACAAGCGCCAGCACCACAGCTTTTTAACACGTTGCCATACCCTTAGAGTACGTTGATGTGTACGGTGTCTTAAGTTGCTGTTTGTTTGTTATTTTATTCCATAATTAGTCTCTGCTGGGATGACGACTACACCATAGCTCAGTGGTTAGAGCATCGCTGGCTAAAAGCGAGGGTCCCTGGTTCGAGTCCTGGTGGTGACAGTCAATTTTTTCTTCAGACTTTTCCCGTTTGTCTCTTTCCCTCAAACCAGTTAATATGTTATGACTTGGGGCTCCCCGCGTGCTAGTTTGTACGTGAAGTGTGTGGGTTACAGTGAGGGCTGCGTCCCACCCGCCTGTGTGGATTCACAGGAAGTGTGAGTTACGAAATCTGAAGAAAACGTTGAACGGCCTCTGCTGGGATGACGACTACACCATAGCTCAGTGGTTAGAGCATCGCTGGCTAAAAGCGAGGGTCCCTGGTTCGAGTCCTGGTGGTGACAGTCAATTTTTTCTTCAGACTTTTCCCGTTTGTCTCTTTCCCTCAAACCAGTTAATAATTAGTATTGTTCCTGTTTGTTTGGGTTTTGGTCATTTTCTCTATGAGGTCTTCTCCGATTGGTGGCCCCAAACTCATTGTGTTCCACTGCAGTTTGCGTTCCTTTTCATTGAGTTCCAGTGCACTTTGTGTTCATTTTCCTTTGTTTTCATTCTAATTGAATTTTGATGTATTGCGTTTTTGCTTGCCCGTACAAGAGGCTGTTCCATGTTAGTGGTGGTGGTGGTGGTGGTGGTGGTGGTGGTGGTGGTGGTGGTGGTGGTGGTAATGATGGAAGTGGTGGTGGTAGTGGTGGTGGTGGTGGTGGTGGAATGAAAGCTTTTAAAAGAAATTTCAGTGGTGCTGGCGATGGCTGTGGAGATGCTGCTGATACGGTAATGGCGGCGGTGCTGTTGCTGGTGGTGTGGTGCCGGTGGTGAAGGCACAGTTTTCCCTGCTCTTCCGGGTGTTGTGTGCGCATTCACAGGTAGCGGCTCAGTGTTACCTGCCGTTTTGTTGTTGGATTTGGTTTGCCCGGGTTGCGGGCCAGCGGGGACACTGTCTTGCCTTGCAACGGACAGGCCGCAAGCCCGGCGGAACCGGTCCGGTCGATCAGGCACTGGCCGGACCAGCATTTTGACCACCGATATGTGTTTAAGGCTGAGGAGGTCATGCCTGCCTGCCAGTCATATCCCTACTCAAAGTATGACGGACCATGGCATGGCCGGACCATACAGTCCAAAACTGCTTTCGCTGGACATGCAGTGAATGGATCATGCAATGTAAAGCGGACTTGGAACCACGGTTGACAACAAAAAGACGTGACTCCTAGAGATTAGTGACGAGTAGGTTTGTGTGAACCTGAACCGGGATGTTCACGATGACTCCAATTCCTTAGAACAGAAAAAGGGCCACGTAAAGCATGAGCTGATTGTTTAGTAGCTGCTGGTGGTGTTAGCGTAACTTGTGGTTCCTTGGTCCTTTTTCTTTTCTACAGATCCTTGCTGTACGTGCCCCGAGGCATGGCACCAATGCAAGCTGATGCTTCCCGGGTGAGATAGCCACCCTAAGAGACATGCCCGCCCGAATGGTGATGGCTGACAGACTCGCGTGGCTCGATAGTCCAGACGCGCACGCTGCAAGGAATCCAATTCCTTGTCTGGAGACAAGATTCGCTCATTCTACCAACAGAGAATGATGTTGCAATCGCCCGGCATGTGATGATACATGTGAAAGTGGACGTACATGTATAAGTAGTTATCTGATGGCATGTGATTATACATGTGCCAGTGGACGTATAAGTAGTTATCTGATTGCTCCGCCATATCTGGTGACAGTTGCATCATTACTAAGCCAGGGATCCTGTCACTACTTTGCACGTTTTTGTTGATGATGCCATTGCTGCCGTGAAGGTCACGCAAAGTACGTGTGCCTGTGAGTGTGAGCAGCTCCCGCAGGCTGCACCCTGTACACGCCACGGACCCGTACACCAATCAGCCTGGTACATGTATATGCCTAACACTAATGCGCGTCAAAGCCGGGGCTCTGCCAATCAGTGATGCTTGTAGTCAGCACTTTTTTTTACCACAGCGCGTCCTCGTCCTTGTAACATGCTGTCAACTGACCACCAAACAATCTGTGGCCGGCTGGTGGATGCAGACATGCAGAGTACCAACTCAGTTTAGCATTGTGGAAACCTCGAGAAGTAACACTAACAGAGCAGCTACACAGTGATCCGTCGAGACTTTTCCTTGCGCCAGTCACAAACCCAACGCATTGGATACGTGTAGAGGGTGTGTGGAATGAGACCGGAGAGCAGAGGCGAGGGAGCACAGTTCTAACTCAGTTTAAGATGATAATGATGCATGGTGCTGCAGAGTGCAGATGTCACAGTCTGTGCCGGTGAGGCAGTGTGAAAAATATGCTGGCGCCTTGAAGTGGTGGTAGCGTGGTCCAGCCTGATTGTGACCATTTTTAATGTGTGGCCAGTACATGACTGTGTTCTGCTTTTCTTTGCGGAGAGGTATCGGCTACGGAATGGTCTACTGTGTAAAATTAAAGTGATACAATACTGTACACCTCATGATGAGCACAATCACGCCACTAGTATTGTACAGGACTACCCAACTCCTACAGTGTCTAATCATGTCACCAGCTGCAGGACCAAGTCATTCATATACATGTACATGACTTTGTAGACATGCACAGCTGATATGGGAGGCAATTGTCTTCAGCATGCTTGATGGTGTGGCACACTCACCATGTACCATGTACACACAAGGAACACGGATAGAGTGATCAACACACTGCCGGATATCATGATGTGGAATTATGATTCAGTGTACATGTAGTTCGTATTACGATGCTGTGAAACGTATCCAGCCACTGTGCTCCGCATGCATTGTGTATCCTTCTATGCACTGTCTTTGAAGCCATGGTTTCGGATGAGCAAAGCCGCGGAGCCAGCATGCAAGACTGACCTCGACAGAAACGTACTACATGTAATAGTATAACCGGTACATGTACATGTAGTGATTCATGCACGGGCACAGTGCCATAGCACAGTCCTGCTTGATGAAATCCGATCAAGCAGGTGGATGCCAAGCCTTGCGTCCTAGACCTATGGACGCTGGGAGTGTAAACTGTTGCAGTGTGCAAACGTAACTGAAATGTCGGATTTCATTGAGCAGCATGACTGCACTTTGTCCTGGTACCGTGCTTCTCCTAGTTTTTGACAGCGTGACGCTTGGCCGGGCTGGCCAGCTCTCATGATGTCTCAACTTCTTCAAATCGTGTGACACCCGCCACGGCCAATAATGCAGAGTAAGTGCGTTTGTCACACGCTCCCCGGATTTAGTCATTGGCTCCTTGTATCATGCTTTCAAAGTCACGTGTGTAGTAGACAATACGAATAGT